GAGGAGGAGGAGGAGGTGATGGAGGAGGTGATGGAGGAGGAGGTGATGAGGTGATGGAGGAGGAGGAGGAGGTGATGGAGGAGGTGATGGAGGAGTGATGGAAGAGGAGGAGGAGGTGATGGAGGAGGAGATGGAGGAGGAGATGGAGGAGGAGGAGGTGATGAGGTGATGGAGGAGGTGATGGAGGAGGAGGAGGAGGTGATGGAGGAGGAGGTGATGGAGGAGGTGATAGAGGAGGAGGAGGTGATGGAGGAGGAGGAGGGGGTGATGGAGGTGATGGAGGAGGTGATGGAGGAGGTGATGGAGGAGGAGGTGTTGGAGGAGGTGATGGAGGAGGAGCAGGAGGAGGTGATGGAGGTGATGGAGGAGGAGGAGGACGAGGAGGTGAAGGAGGAGGAGGAGGTGATGGAGGAGGAGGAGATGATGGAGGAGGAGGAGGTGATGAGGAGGTGATGGAGGAGGTGATGGAGGTGATGGACGAGGTGATGGAGGAGGAGGGGGAGGTGATGGAGGAGGTGATGTTGTCCGCGGTGAGCACAGTGGTGTACGTGACGAGGCTGTGGGGTCTCCAGAGTCTGTGACCTGTGCTTCGCCTGCAGGGTCACGGGCGGGGAGCTGTTTGAGGACATCGTGGCCAGAGAGTACTACAGTGAGGCGGATGCCAGGTGGGTGTGCAGCCCTCACTCCTGGGCCTCTTCCCCCCCCAGCCCTGCCTCGCCTGGTCCCAGTCCTGGCCCCGTGGCGCACGTGTGCTCCTGTGGGCGTCGTGGCTCACCTGGCCTAGGCCGACGGTTAGCCGAGCCCTGCTGGGAGCCCGAGCGGGTCCCAGAGCAGTGTCCTGCCCCAGATTGCAGGCGAGGCTGGAGTCGGGGAGCACCCAGACCGGTTCCGCTCCCCTGGGGTGGGGACTGGCCCACAGAGGGGCTTTTTCCCTGGCGCGGTGGAAAGGGGAGTCATGGTGCCCCCCCTCCCTTGGACATCGTCCATGGCCCGCAGCATGCCCCCATGGGGCCTTCCTCAAGGAGATGGGCAGTTTCCAAATGCTTTTCCAAACACAGGGCAGGGATCCCTTTCCAATGCCAGCCTCCCAGGGCCGGAGTCAGGAAGGGAAGGCAAGGGGGTGGGGGGGACTGTGCCTCCAGGACCCCGTCTGCAGGCTCTCATTTGTGGGGCCCCCTGTGCAGGGATGGGGGGACTGTGCCTCCAGGACCCCGTCTGCAGGCTCTCATTTGTGGGGCCCCGATGGGGGGACTCGGGCTCCCTCCAGGTGAGGCTTCCGTGTGGGCCCCTGGGCAGCCCTTCCTCCTGGGGTCAGCTGTCACAGGGGATGAGGGGCCCAGGGGCGCTGCTGGGGACGCAGGGCCCCCCGTCCTGGAAGGGGAGGCCATCCGCGGCCTGCTGTGGCCCACGCTGGAGTCACTCCTGACCGTGCATCTCCGTGGGAGGACAGCTGAGGCTGGCCGCTCCCTGCCCGCTGGGGCCGGGAGCCCCTCCCGTGACAAAGATAAAGGCCACTCTGGCCATCCAGCTCTAGATGTTGGCGTTCACTATGGATGCTTTTAATTTTGTATGTTACTTGTTTATTTCTAAGAATTTCATTAATGAACATGTATTTTTTTTCTAATCAAGAAAGTGGGTATTAGTATTTTAGTTTAATTTTTTAAAACGATTTTAATTTGAGAGAGAGCACGAGCAGGGGGATCAGCAGAGGGAGAGGGAGAAGCAGGCTTCCCGCCGAGCAGGGAGCCCGATGCGGGGCTCGATCCCAGGACTCCGGGACCATGACCTGACCTGAAGGCAGACTCTTAACTGACTGAGCCCCCCAGGTGCCCCTTGAATATTTTTTTTTAAAGGCTTTTTGTGACTTGCTTCTGCACCCACGGGTGACCTCACCTGCTGGTAATGGCCCAAGCGAGTCCCATGGCTGCCTGGGTCCCCACAGAGTCAGGGCCTCCTGGGTCCTCCAGGGTCAGGGCCGGGGTTGGGGGTGTCAGTGACAGGGCTCAAGGGCATGGGCTGCTTTCCCGAGGCTCCTTGAGGAAGGACCTTCGTTTTGTCCGCTCGCCTGGGAGTGGCCGGCCCCCTTCAGGAGCAGGAAGATCCAGTGCTCAGTTCCTCCTTTAAGAAAAGTAGAGAGTAGAGCAGAGCCGTGTCCCCTGGCTCTGCGGTGCTGGAGTGGGGACATCTGGAAAGTGGGCGCCTGCCTGCTGAGCCTGGGCTGTCCTGACCTCTGCCAGGGCCAGAGGAGCTCTGGGGCCGGCAGGGGCAGGCCCGGCCAGCAGGTGGGCAGGGTCCCGGCTTGCTGTCCCCAGGTCCAGTGCCGGGGCCCACCACCACCAGGGCAGTACCAGCATGGAGGACTGCTTTCCAGTTCTGCCGCCACAGCCACCGGCTGCCTGCATCTGGGTAGCTGGCCTTCACAGCCCTCTGTTTCCCCGCCTGGAACTCCTTGCCCCGGTGCTTAGTCCTCGGCAGCCCCCACTGCCTGGGGCCTGGCCCCTTGCCTGTGTTCCGTAGCAGGTGCTTTTGGCTGAGGGGTGCTATGGCCTGCGACAGCAGCCCCCTCTTGGCTGGGAGCCCCTGGACCCCCCAGCCTGCCCAGTGCCTTCATCCTGTGCCCGCCCACACCCCCAACCGTGCACACACCCCGTGCTCCCCAACACCTGTGGCCTCCGAGCTCCTCCCTCACCCACCTGCCCTTCCTGCCTGCCTCTCGGCCTCATCTCCCAACACCCCCTCCAGCCCCCAGCCCCACCACTTGAGGCCCGTGGATCCCTCCTGCCACGCTCCTGTCGGGGACCCTATCGTGGAGGGCTCCCCTGGTGTTTGGGGCCCCTTGGAACTGGCCCAGAGGAGACAGGGCTGGGGTCACCCCCAACAAATGCCCAGTTTTCTCTCACGAAGCCCGCCTTGCTCAGAGCCCAGCTCTGAGGAGGGGGGACGAGGGGACACTCTCAGGGAGGCAGCCTCCAGCGGCCTCTTCTCCCAGGGGCTCTGGCCCCCGGATTGTGTTGGATGTTTGTGCTGGTGCTTTGTTTTCAGCCAGGTGAGCCTGCCAGGGTCTGCAGTGGACATCGGCACGGTGGTCACCCGGGGGCATCGTCAGGAACCGTGGCAGACGTGGCTGAGGCTAACTCCCATGCTGGGAGGGCTGCCTGGCTCGGGGGACCCGCCACTGAAAGGGGTCAGGGCCATGCTGAGGCCAGGACCCGGGATGCTGGCCACGCGGGGTGGGCAGGGAGTTCCGGCCTCACGGCCTGCTGGGGCTGTGCTGCTCATGGCGGAGCGTCTCACGGCTTCCACCGTGGCAAGTGTCTGGAGGGGGCGGGAGGCAGGCAGGCCTTGCTTTTCTGAGCTCTTTCCTAATCCCGCTTCGGAGGAACTTGGCGGTTTGTGGGAAACCTGGAGGGTCTGTTTCCAAAGTAGGGAAAGCAAAGGTCAAAACACTTAGAACCCAGTTTTTAAAAGCCTAGAAAGTTATGCGGCCCTTGAGAGATGTTTCAAGGGCCCCCTGAGAATCTGACTACCCCGCCAAGAAGGAGGAGGAGGCAGGGGTGCAGCTGAGGTGACCCCAGAGCCCAGAACCGTGAGAATAGCGTCCAGGACCCAGCTAGCGTCTGGAATGCGCTTGGAAACAACTCTGACCACAAAAAGGTCCCACAAGGAAGATGGTACAATGTGAGAAGGCGGAAGGCGGGCAGGACTTCCAGGCCGTGGTCCCAGGTTGGAGTGGTGAGGGGGGCCGGGGGTCCCCAGGAGTCCCCCCGGGCGGAGCCGCCCACAGTGGGCACCTGTGGGCTGCGGAGACAGGCTCCCACCACCACGTGGCCAGGGAGGCCCCCCAACAGCTTACTCGTGAGGACCCAGTTTGCTTAGCCAGCTCACTCCTGGCCCCGGGGGGAAGCCAGCGCAGCTCTGTGTCCCACCAGCCGGTTTCTCCGTCGCGGTGGCCGTGAAGCCCCTGGAGCAGGGTCTGCGTGCAGGCGGACAGGGTCTGTCCTCAGAGTAGCAGGGACACAGCCGAGTCCCACGATGCTCTTGGAGAGATGCAGACCCTCTGCTGGCTCGGGGAGCGGGGGGTGGGCTCGCATCTCTGGTGCTGCTTTGGGCCCTGCATTCCCAGGAGGGGACGAGGAGGGCAGGGGTGCAGCCCCCGAACTCCAAGCCGACATTGGGCGTCTGTCCTGCGGCACATGGACCCATGGGTCCGACAGACGTTCTCAGAATATCTTCCTGCAGGGTCGGGGAACAGCACGATCGAGGGGAGGGAGCCCCGTCAGCCCTGTGGTGGAGGCCACAGTCCGGGCAGAGACACCCACACTGAGGCTGTGGCCACCAGGGGATGGCGGTGGGGAATCCAGAGGGTGTTGTCAGGGGTCAGAGGCAAGGAAGGGTCTCGAGCGGGAAGGGGGAAGACGGGCTTGATCCAGAGCTGAAGTGGGATGTGCGCGGGCTCAGCAGGTCTGACCGGAAGCGAGGTCACCCCGGGGCCTGCGGGAGTGACCAGGGGCTCCTGCCGGACAGCAGAGCGCACAGCTGGGTGCAGGCCAGGGCCGAGCTGCTGCAGCTCGGGAGGGGGCTGGTCTGCCAGGCCCCCCTTCCCCTGGCTCCGTGCGGACGCCACAGTGCGCAGGTGGTCCCAGGGACCTGCGGCGGAGCACCATGCCTGAGCGCTGACAGCCCCGGGGCTCCAGGTGAGCAGTGAGGGGCGGGTCTCTGCAGGCTGGGAAAGCCGTCCCCGGCCCTGGACCCTGGCTCAGCGACCTCAGTGGCAAGTGCTGGGGGCTTCGCCTGGCCTCTGCCTGCACCCCGCGGCCTGCCCTGACCTTAGAGGAGGGGACCCGGCGGAGTAGGTCCCCCCCACGAGCTTGCCGCGGGGGTCAGCATGGCTGCAGTATGAGCCCCTGACTGCAGTAACGGGGGCTGGCACCACCAGGGCAGGGATGAGGATCACGGGATGTTCCAGGCAGATGAGGGCTTTGTGGGAGTCACAAGGAAGGTTTTGAGGGTGAGTTAGGCCAGGACACGGGGATAGGAGACCCCAGGTCGCAAGGGCAGGAGACTCAGGACATGGGAGGGGGCTGTGGTTCCAGCCCTTGGTGGCACTTTCAAGGGGTTGTGTCCCACAGCTTTGGGCCTGGCTCCTTCTGACCCCCCCAGAGCTCAGGAACCATCATCATTAGGGTTCCAAGGTCCTGGCCTGTGCAGGGAGGAAAGTCAGGTTTATGCCATGGGAGGAGGATCCCCAGGCGTGGCCAGAGCTACTTGAGGAACAAGTCTGGTCTCTCCCCCCCACTCCGAGTTCGCTGTTAGGGAGACAAAGCCCACACTTCCAGCTGACCCTCAGTCACCTTGCAGGGTCCAGCCGTGGCGGGAGGGTCCTGAAGCAGTCTGCCTCCCCGTCTCGCCCCCACCCAGAGGGGCAGTGAGTGCGGTCCTGGGCAGGGGGCTCCTGGCGGCCTGTGGCTGGCCATGCTGCAGGGGTGGCTGGGACCCCGAGGAGCCTGTGCCTGGTTCTGGGGGCAGTTGGAAACCGTGCACCCCGCGGGCCATCTGGGGGAGGCAGGCTCGGGCCCCAGGGTGTTGTGTGCATAGAAGCTGGGGGTCATCGGGGTCTGGGGCGTGGGCGGTGTTGCTCACAACGCAGGTGTCCGAGGAGCCTGGGGGCAGCGCTGACCTCTCCCTCCAGCCAGTCGTGCCCGGAAGGCCCTAGACATCTGTCTCCCTGGCTCAGGGCTCGGGGCCCGGGCAGGCGAGCTTCCAGGACCGCTGGGCTGCTCCGGAAGCTGGGCAGCCAGTGTGGATGCTCGGGGCTGGTAAAACGGAACCCCTCCCGCTCTAGCACCTGAGTGACTGGCTGCAGAACTGGCCCTGCCCCAGAACAGAGCGGGGCCTGGGGCTGGGGCGCCACCCTGCTCCGCAGTGCCCTGGCCCCCTCTCAGGACACGTGGCACAGGGTCCGGCTCTGTCGGCATGAGCCTGGGGAGCCCAGGAACAGAGGTGTGTCCTCTGAGTGTGTCTTCTGTGGGCCTGGTCAGAGGAGAAGGCGGGGTGCAGGGGGTGGCCCTGCCTTGTGCTGGCCAGTGGGGGGGCTCCCTCCTAGCCGGCGTCTCCTCTCCTGTATGGCAGGCCCCATCTTGATTCTCTGCCTCCCTGTGACCCCAATGCCACACAGCACCCCACTCCTGCACACCCCCCCCGCCCCTCGAGGCCACCCTCACTAACACACCTGCTGTTTGCCACAGTCACTGCATCCAGCAGATCCTGGAGGCGGTTCTCCACTGCCACCAAATGGGGGTCGTCCACAGGGACCTCAAGGTGAGTCCCCCACCCTGCTCTGTGTCAGCTGTCTGCGCCTGCATGTCTTGCAAAAGGAGGCCCTGGAGGGGCAGGGGGAGTGCCAGGAGATCCTGTGTGTGCGCGCGTGTGCATGAGCACCTGTGTGTGTGTGCACGAGCACGTGTGGGGCTGTGCACAAGCACGTGTGTGGATGAGCACCTGTGTGAGTGTGCATGGGCACGTGTGCGTGTGCACGAGCACGTGTGTGTGGATGAGCACGTGTATGAGCACCTGAGTGTGCATGAGCACGTGTGTGTATGAGCACCTGTGAGTGTGCATGAGCATGTGTGTATGAGCACCTGTGTGTGTGCACGAGCTCGCGTGTGTGGATGAGCACCTGTGTGAGTGCACGAGCACGTGTGTGTGGATGAGCACGTGTGAGTGCACGAGCACGTGTGTGTGGATGAGCACATGTATGAGTGTGCACGAGTACGTGTGTGTGGATGAGCACCTGTGTGTGAGGGTGCATGAGCCTGTGCTTGTGAGTGTGCACGAGTACGTGTGGGGGGTGTGTGCAGGTGCATGAGAACGTGTGCATGTGTGTACTTATGTGGGTGTGCATGTGAGAATTCACATGCGTGTGCATGTGTGAGAGAATGCACATGTGTGTGCACGCATGTGTGTGTGTGTTTGCACACGTTCCTCCATCGCCTCCATGCTCCAGGACTAAGAGGGCACTTGTCAAAAGTCAGCCTGTCAGCACATGTCCACTTGGGGTGTCTTTCTGGGCTCCAGGTGAGAGAGACCCGGCAGGGGGCCATGTAGGTGATGTGTGTGCAGGTGGGGCTGATGCCAAGGGAGCAGGGGTGAGGGGCCGGCCTTGCTGGTCTCTGCCAGTGTCCAGCCCATCCTGCAAGTCTCTGCTGCCCCTGGCTCAGCTCTGGGCAAAGTGGTTTGTCACCCCCCAGAGCACAGTGTGGCCTCAGGAGGAACAGCACCCTTTCTGCCTTCCCTGCCCCCCAGGCTCTCCAGAGCTGGGTTCCTGTCCCCTTTTTAGCTGGGCTGGGGGTGGGGTGGGGGGAGGGCCTGTCATTCCTGCCGAGAGTCCCTAGGTGGCATTTGAGACCAACCTTCCAACGCTGAATGGGGTCACACCTCCCTTGGGCCACCGAGGGGTGTGCATGTGAGCTGATCTTTGCAGGGGCTGCTCTGGGGATGGTGTCCCACTAGAAGCAGGCCCGGGACCCCCTTCCCACGCCCTTCTCTGCACGTCCCACACGGTCCGCCGTCCCTCCACCTGCGCCGCAGGCCTGCTTTGTGTGCCTGTGCTGTGGGCCTCACCGTCTGTCACCACGTTTGGTCTGAAGCAGCATCACGTGGAGGCGTGCATCCCCCACCTTGTCCCTGGACCCCATGATTCATAGCTCACCCTGAGGCCACGGCATAGGAATGAACATAGGTGTTCCCCCCAGCCCAGGCGTGACCCGGGGCAAGCAAGCCTTGCTGAAAAGAACAAAAGGGCAGGACAGTGGGCCTTCTGCCTCCTGCCACGTGTGGAGGGCAGATGGCCTCTCTTCCCAAGAGGACCCCTGTCTCCTGATGGGGACAGACCCCCGAGGCGGTACAGTGGTGGGTTTGCGCTCAGCTGAAGTGGGAAGCGGGGAGAGCAGAGGGGTTTGGCATCATGTCAGGGGGCTGGGGGGGCCAGGGGTCCCCAGCCCTTCCCTGGGGCCGAGCCCCTCATCTGTGGAAGGCCTGCCCGGCCACCTCAGACCCCTCGATGTGGTTGCAAGGGGAGATGAGGGCCCCCTAGCCCAGCTCACGTTGGGAAAATGGAGATGCTGAGGGTGTCTGCCACGGGGCTGGCATCCTTCGCGGGTTCCGAGGGCCGCGTGTCACCTTCTAACACCTCAGGGTTACGAGCAGTGTTAACACGGTCTTTTCGGAGGTGTGTGCCTTTCTTGGGGCACTGCAATGCCGGTGTGGTCTCCGTGGGCCTGCCTGTCGGGAGGGCGGCCCGGGGAGGGGGCCGAGGGCCCCGGAGCCCCGGGCGGTCAGGGACGAGGAAGCCCAGAGTCCGCGAGCTCTGTGTGCTCCACGCTGACCCCTGGAGGCGGCCAGGCCGGGATGAGAGGGGCCCTGTGGACAGGACACAGAGCATAGGGACCCCCGTGGTGCTCCCATGCGACTGGGGACGAATGCCCTTTCAGCTTGCCCGAGGGCGCTGCTCCCTGAGGCAGGGGGGCGTGGGGGGGCTTTTCCCACCTGTGGGCGCCGCCAGACAGGCCGAGGCAGAGGGATGGGGCGGCCAGACGCTCTGTGCTGCCTCCTTCCTCCTGGCCCTCAGGGGGGCACCACCCCTCAGGCAGCCCCCCACCGTGTCTGAGCACCCAGATGTGGGACATCGGGGGGCACCGCTCGGGTCTGCTCGCCGCACTCTGAGTTCTTGGCCTGGGTGTGACAGCTCCCCTCTGCCCCCGGGGGCTCACGACGAGTCTGCCCGGGCAGCACCCACACAGCGGGGCGTCAGACCTGTGCGCCCCAGACTGCAAACCGCCGTCCCGTCTGTTGTGCCCCCTTCCGTCCGTACCCCTTGGGTGTAAACCACACGTGCACTGGCGGGTCGCCTTCCCTGCAGCCCGAGAACCTGCTCCTGGCCAGCAAGTGCAAAGGGGCGGCCGTGAAGCTGGCGGACTTCGGCCTGGCCATCGAGGTGCAGGGGGACCAGCAGGCATGGTTTGGTGAGTGTCCAGCCGGCCGGCCGGAGCGAGGGCGGGGGTCTGCTGCAGCCTCGGCCCTCACACCGCCCCTGCCCTGTCCCCAGGGTTCGCTGGCACGCCCGGCTACCTGTCCCCAGAGGTCCTGCGCAAGGAGGCCTATGGCAAGCCGGTGGACATCTGGGCGTGCGGTAAGACCTCCGTGGAGGCGGGTGGGGCCACGGAGTCACGGTGGGGGGAGCCCTGCGCCTGTGCCACGTGCACCATGCCAGGCCCGCCCCTGGACTGACTCACGGGGCTGCCGCCAGCCAGGAGCCCTCTCCCCACACAGACTAGAATTGCTAACGTGACCCTGGCAATTGCCGAGAAGCCCACCACCCCAGTGCCCGCCCTGCACCCAGAAGAGAGGTCTGGGCCAGAGGGAGCACTCGGTGCTGGAGGTGGGGGCACGCAGACCACTGTGGCAGGGCTGCCTCCTTGTTGGGGGTCTCGGGTGGAGCTGAGCCCTGGACGTGACCCTTGTGTTCCAAGGGTACGGGGATGGGCTGTGGGTGGGGGACGAGGCTACGGGGGAGGGGGCCCAGAGAATGGGGGCTGGGAGCAGGGAGGTGGCGGGGGGAGGCTGGGGGTGGGGCGGCAGTGTGAGGCCTCCCCCCTGCTCTGCACAGGGGTGATCCTGTACATCCTGCTTGTGGGCTACCCACCCTTCTGGGACGAGGACCAGCACAAGCTGTACCAGCAGATCAAGGCAGGAGCCTACGACGTGAGTGCTGGGACCCCTTCTGCCCCCTCCCCATCCGGGGGGAGGCCTGGAATGAGTGACACCACCTGCTTCCCAGAATCAGGACCCGCATGAGAGCCGTCAGAGGATTCTGGCTCCTGCCAGGGGAGGGGGCTTCAGACTCTCTCGTGCGTTGCTTCCTTTTCTAGTTTCCGTCCCCCGAGTGGGACACGGTCACTCCTGAAGCCAAAAACCTCATCAACCAGATGCTGACCATCAACCCCGCCAAGCGCATCACAGCACACGAAGCGCTGAAACACCCGTGGGTCTGCGTAAGTTCCCCCAGCACGCATGCCCTGGGGTCCTCTCCTCACTGCTGACGGGTCCCCCCGGGTCTCCTGGGGCTTGGGACCCCCTGGGGGGTTTGCAAGGCCTCCGTCTCTGGGAAGGTGGGGGCTCCAGGTAGAGGAGGCCCCGTCCTATGTGTGAGGGGACGGAGAGTCGAGGCAGACCAGGGGCCTGGGTGGGGGACACAGCCGTCAGGAGGGCCAGGAGGGTGAGGGTGAGGTGGGGGCAGACAGGTGGAAAGGGGTGGTGGGCTCAGGGCCGGGCAGCAGGGGGCACAGCGGGGTGGCCCTGGGGGGGTGCCACGGCCTTGCTGTCCTGAGCCCTCTCCCTGAGGGCCGGAGCTGACCCCCCTCGGAGCCTTTTGCAGGGTGTGACGGTCCTTCTCCCCACAGCAACGCTCCACTGTGGCCTCCATGATGCACAGGCAGGAGACTGTAGAATGCTTGAAAAAGTTCAATGCCCGGAGGAAGCTCAAGGTGAGACGTGGGCCCCAGCGCCCAGCCCACCTGCCCCACGGCCCCCATTGCTCAGCCTCCCTGGGGGTGCCTGTGCCCTCGAGGGCCCCAGGCTGGGAGCAGCCAGAGGGGTCCCAGCAGGCCAGGCGAGGGGAGGCACCGGGGTCCCAGAGCACATGTGTCAGGTGGACCCAGCCCCCGCACGGCAGCGACACTCGAGGTCCCCCATTCCCGGGGCTGTGGAGGGGCAGGTGCCCCCGGTCGCTGCCGCTTGCTTCAGGGTGAGCGAGTGGGCAGCGCCGGCCCCTCGCGGGCCTGGTGCGGAGAGCAGCCTGGCTGCGGGCGGGTGGGTGGGGAGGAAGCGGCCGGTGGGGAGCCCGCGGTTCTGAGCCTTCTAGAAGCTGTGCTCAGTGGGCGGCCGCTGGTTTTGCTCCGGAAGTAGGGGGCCGAACCCGTGCAGTTGGAGAGCCTGCAGGCTTGCTCTGCGAGTCCGTGACCCGGGTCCCGGCGGGCATCCCCCAGGCTGAGGTCCGGGCCGGGGTGTCCTGGCCTCAGCCGCATGTCTGTCCCCAGGGCGCGATCCTCACCACCATGCTGGCCACGAGAAATTTCTCAGGTGAGAACGGTCTTCTCCTGGAAGAGAAGGCTTCCGAATGACCCGCCGCCCCGGCGGCCCGCCCCTGTCTCACGACCCCCGGCCCTTCTCCCCCACCGCTCAGCAGCCTGGCTTCCTGCCCGCCCGGGGCCTCGAGGCCTGGGCTCTGTGGGCAGCACCTCAGGGTCCGCCACCCAGCCCGGTCCGGGAGGTCGCCCGGCACACGCCCCTGTCCCTGCGTGTTGGGTCTCTGTGTCCTCGCTGCCGCCGTCTGGGCCGCAGCTGTGTGTCTGTCCGGATGTTGGTTGGCACCTCTGTGGCCTTGTTGTCCTGAGCCCCCTGAGCACCCGTTCTGTGTGGGAGCGGGAGGGGAGGGGAGGACCCGGGGCCTCTCCGCCGAGCTCTGGACTCGCCGGCGGCCGCCCGCCTGGGGCGCTGGGGGTGGGCGGGGCTGGGGGCGTGCGGCTGCTCGAGGGGGGGGCCTCTGTCAGTGACCCCAAGGCCAGGGGCCCTGGCAGGCCCGCTGGGCCCAGCGTCACCCTAGGGGCAGGTGGCCCCCTGGCTGTCCTGTGGCTGTCTGTCGCCCGCGTCACTGGGTGCGGGAGCGTCTGGGGTCCGTCCCTGTTCGTCTGCATCCAGCACCCCACCCTGTTCCTTTGGCTGTGATACCGTGCTGCCGGGACTGGGGGGCGTGTGTCACACCAGCACTCACGGGTCCTGTTCTGGGCGCGAGAAGCCCCCGCTGGGGTTTTCTAAGGAGAAAGGAGGCAGACGCTTTCCAAGTGTCACTCAGTCCCGGTCCTGTTTGCACTCTCCTGTGAACGGGACTCTGGAGCCATCCGCCACCCAACTGCGGACTCTAATCTTCTTCTGCTTCCTTTGTCTCTCCCCCTCCCTTTCCCCTGCCCGCCCCCGTCTGTGTCCGCCCCTCCCTCGTCTCTAACCTGGTGCTAACAGTGGGCAGACAGACCACCGCTCCGGCCACAATGTCCACCGCGGCCTCCGGCACCACCATGGGGCTGGTGGAACAAGGTAGATGCTCTTGACCAGGGTCCCGCCTGTCGGCATGCAGCCCCCTCGCTGCACGCAGCTGCCGGCCAGGCCTCCAGAGCTGCCCCAGAGGCCCCGGGAGCCCCCGCTCCCGCCATGGACGGGTCCCGCACGGAGCGCAGGGCGGCAGCCCCCGCTGTCTCAGCGGCCTCGGACCCTGTGCGCTGAAGGTGGGGCCAGGCAAGGTGACCCCTAAGCCGTGGCCCCTCCCCCACACATTTCACCCAGCCTTGGTCCTGGCCCCTGAGTCTGGGGGTCGGGAGACCCCTCTGGTCGGAGCCCTGTGCTCTGTGATCTCTCTCCCCGTTTGTCCGTCACAACCGCCGTTCAGAGTGACCTTGACCACCCGTAGGAAGCCTCAGGGCTGCTACTGGGTCCGAACCCTGAGTGGGGTTCCTGGGAAAAAGGCATGGGTGCAGAGGCCCTGCCCCATGAGGGCCCTCTCGCCAGCCCCGTGCACCCAGGCACCTGCACCGTGCTTCTCCCTGGCTCTCGCATGGAGCTGGTGGTCTGTGCTGGGTCCGATGTGTGCATGTGAGTCCTGTGAGCCGCAGGACAGGGGGGCCTTGGCCGCCCGCCCCGAGAATGTCTTCTTGGTTCTCTCTAAGAGGCCCGTGGCCTCCTCCCAAATGTGTGAGGGGAGAGGCTGTTTTTGCCGAACGGCTCTTCCCCAGGGGGCCTCAGGCCCGCTCCCGCCCACCCCGCCGTGAGCTTAGCCAGAAGCCCCGAGGGCTAGCGGACTGCAGGACCTGCCAGGGGACCAGCCTGAGCCGAGAGTGGTGCAGGCTTAGGGCGCACGGAGCCCGCTGCAGCCGAAGGCCGATCCCAGGGCTCCCCAGACGGAGCCGTGGGGCCTAGTTTTCTGCAGGGGCCTTGTGCTTTGGCCCCAGCCAGCCGTCCATCCCAGCTCTTGCCTCAAGATCCCACAGGGGCTGCCTTCCCTAGCGGCCTCCTCCTGGGTGTACTCCGGGCAGGCCCACCCTCGGGAAGGGCGGTCTGCGCCCCTCTTGTGAGCCCAGTGGATGTGTCCGGCAGGCAAGGCCCCCGGAGGGCCGTCCTTAGCTTCCTTCCCAGAGCCTTTCTGGAGCGCATTAGGGGAGGGTGGGCCAGGGGCCAGGGAGCCTGGGCGCCCCTGCTGAAGCGCGGCTGCCCGGCGCAGTGAGCGAGGCCTCTGGGCTGCTCTCTGCGGGGCCCCTGCCTGAGCCCACCTGCCCGTTGTGGGTGTGCAGCGACTGCATGAGGCCGCGTGCATGCACAGCCCCCCGCCGGGGCGCCGAGGGCTGCTCTGTCCCGGGGGCGGTCAGTGCATGTGGACGGAGCCCAGCATGGCTGTCCCAGGCCACCAGCGAGGGGACGAGGCAGAGGCTGGGCCCTTGGGCAGAGGTCAGCCCACCTCAGCCAGTGGCACTGGTCGGGGGCCTCCGTTTCAAGGCCATCGCTCCTCCGCAGGGGACAGCCTCCCCAGTGACATAGTGCCCCCGCCCGAGGAGCCCACGGGGTCTCCGTAGAGACGATGACGCTGCGGGTTGACAGAGCGTCTTGGCCTTCCCTGAGAGGAGGCCGGGGAGCTGGGGTGCGGGTGGGGGGGCAGCCGTGGCCAGCCTGAGGACCCTGGCGTGTGTGGTGGAAGATCTTTGCTTGTCTACCAGGGGTCTGGGGCAGCTGCTCGGCCCCCTGGGGCTCCTGCCACGAACCTGTGCTTTTGATTGCCAGTGTAGACAGGGTCCACGGGGCTCTGGAGGCAGTGAATTTCTGGGAGCCGCTTTCAGGAGGGGCCCGGCCGTGTGTCCACACTGCGCCCAGACTGGCAGGCGTTGGTTAAAGGAAGTTCCTCAGGGGAAGTGTTTGGGGATTGGTTAAGTGGCTCCGTGTCTGCTGTGAGGCTCTCTGGAGTCTGGGCCCCAGTGGAGCCGTCTGAATCCGCAGGGGGTGTTGCCGTCTTGGGGAGCGAGGTCTGGAGAGTGGGCTTTGAGAGTCAGGGACTGAGGGGGGACCCTCTCGAGACCCAGGGTCTCCATCTGCCTCTGCCCAGGGCCAGGCAGGGCTGGCTGTGTCTCCTCGGGGCGCTGGGCCGGCCCTGGCCTGCATTGGCTCCAACGCCGAGGCTGCGTGGTGCCGTGGAGCCCGGCCTGAATCAGGGTGTGGGGTCAGCTTGCCTGCCTGCTCGGCTGCCGAGACGCGTGCCTTCGGGATGGGCTGGGTGCCTCTTTCCTCCAGGCCCCTGGAGGAGCCCTGCCCCCTGCTGGTCAGCCAGCAAGGATGGGGGACCGGGGCTCCACGCCTTCAGCATGACCCCCACTTCAGGGGAGGTGGGCTCCACCTGTGCGCTGGACATGGGGAAGGGAGCAGAGGGGTGAGGTCAGTGGGAGTGAAAGCTCCGCATCTGCAGGGCTGGCCTGTCCCTCCATGGTGAGTTCCTGGGAGGCGGGTTGGAGCTGCCCCCTGGGGAGCTTTCCAGGGTGCCCACAGTGGGAAGCAGCCCTGGGGAGGTGGCATTTTTGGTCCTGGGATGCTCCTGGGTCCGGGCCGCCAGGGCTTCCGGGCGTGGTCCTGATCCAGCCTCCCCAGGATTGGGGGTATGCGCTGCAGGGTGGGCAGGCCTGGCGGGCAAGGGAGGGGGCGCCAGTCATCCCTTTGCCTACTGGCACCCCGCGGCACTTCTCACGGGGGGAGGCCTGCCGGACCAGGGGGACGGGCCAGGGGGCAGACCTATGGTGACACACGGCCCTGTGGATCCTGCGGGGGAAGCCTTTGAGAAAGCTGATGGGTTGTGGGGCTGGAGACCGCGCCCAGGGTGGCACTGGGACGGCCCCACAGGGCTCTCTGCCCGAGCACATCACCCATGTCCCTGCACAGAGCCCAGAGGGTGGCAAGGGGCACCTTCACAGAGGGAGGCGGGCCGTGGGACCCTGACAGTGGTTCTCAAACCAAAGCAGGGTTAGGATCTCCTAGAACAGATGCCCCACCACCCCCTGGGAGGTCTGGGGTGGGCCTGGGTGCTGCTGGTGTGGGGACCCCACTTTGAGAACCACTGCCTCTCCCTGGGTCGTGGTGTGCACATCGCTCTGATGTCACGGCCTCCAGGGATGTCTCCCGCAGTCAAGGCCCCCCCCCCGCCCCCCATGGACCACCGTGGGCCCTCGGGGCAGGCAGCTCCGCCGCAGGACTGGCTGGCTGGCTGGAGGCTGTGGAGCCTGTGGCGGGGTGGGGGGGTAGAGCACCCCTGGACCTCCCCGCCCCCCCGATGTCAGCCCCACGGGTGGGGCAGCGCTTGGCTGGAAGTGCGGGTGGGGTGGGCAGGACCAGGCAGGGTCCTGGGCCGCACACACTTGCACCCCCTCCTGACCACACAAATCTTGTTTTCTTTCTTTCCCTCACTCCTCACCTTTCCTTTCCTGGAAGGTAAGCTGACTTCCTTTGGTTTGGCGGCCGTACCATTACTGCTGACCGCTGCGGAGGGCCCAGATGCCGGGGGGCTGGGGGGAGGCAGGGGCCGGGCTGCCCTGACCTCTGTGTGGTCGCGTTGGAGCGTCCCACAGGTGGGGGCATCTCTGGAGCCTTCCCCGTGGGTGTCACCCTGCTGAGCCCACTCAGAGCCCAGGGGCCTCAGGAGTGGACAGAGGGGCCCGTGTTGGGGCCGGTGCTGCCGGGGCAAGGCCAGGAAAGTGACCCCAAGGTCAGGACTTCCAGGACTGGTTCCTGAAGAACCAGGCAGCCCCTTGGGTGCTCTGAGCCGGGGGCCTGGGCCTGTGGGAGGGGGCCAGGAGGCTGACCGCCGGCAGGCACCCGAGCTTGGGACAAGCCCCTCCCTTGCCTGGGTGGGTGGCCAGCTGCAGCCCACCCCGGCCCCAGAACACGGAGAATGACAGGCAGGTGCCCACCCCCCCAACCTGGTACCCCATCCTGTGTTCCTATCCGGGGCGGGGGGAGCACCCTGCCGCCTTCTTGGCAGAGCCTGCACGCTGCCCACGAGCCGCGGGGCCCAGGTGGGAGGGGAAATCTCGGTGTCCTCCAGGGTCGTGGAGAATGGCCAGGGGAAGGGGCCTGTCCCAGGGATGAGGTTTGGGCAGCCCTGGGTTACCCGCGGCCCTGTTCCAGGACGGCCAGGCTCAGAACTGGGGACAGACCTGCTCCCCCACACCCCCCCCTCCGGCCACAGAAGCCACCCTGCCTCAGTCCCTGGGGTCACCTGCCTGCCCACTCGCTCTTGGGGATGTCCAGAGCCTGGCTGGCCCCTGAGGTCACCTCACACTGACGGGGGCGGGAAGCAGCAGGCCCCAAGCCCTTTGCTCATGCTGCCTGTTTCCTCCCAACGCAGCAGCCAAGAGTTTACTCAACAAGAAGGCTGACGCGGTGAAGGTGAGTGCGCTTGGGCCTGGGGCCCACCCACCCTGCGGCTGGGCCTCCCTCCCTCCCTCCCTCCCTCCCTCCAGTGCAGGGCCAGCCCTGGGAATGGGTGTGGCTCCCCGCATCTCCCCCGACCTTCTGTCCCTCTCTCCACAGCCCCAGACAAACAGCACCAAAAACAGCACCGCTGCCACCAGCCCGAAGGGGACACTTCCTCCGGCTGCCCTGGTACTGAGCCCCTCTGCACACCCCGCTTGTGGGCCCTCCCGCACCCTGGCTGTGTGGTGGCCGCCTGTCAGGAGGCCTGGGGTGAGGGTGGGGTCCAGCCCCAGCCCACCCCCGATGGACAACCCCTGGCCCTCCAGCTCCCCCTTGCCGCGTGGGTGTGCAATGAGGGCCGAGCCCCTTTCGGGCAGTCTTGGGGCTGTGCAGGGGCCTGGCCCGGTGGGGAGACACTGCCCGGCTGCCGCCCGGGCACACCATCTGGGAGGTGGGGGCTTGGGTTTCTCCCAGGAACGATGGGTGGGGCTGGTCTTGGCTTTGGAGCCTCCCACCCAGTGATCTGCAGGGAGATAAGCTCTCTTGGCAGTTGGACTGGTGATGACGCAGCAGCAGGCAGGGCGGCCTCCATGGGAGGCCGTGCCCCACAGTCCCCGAAGCTGCCGGCCTGTGGCTGCCCGGGAGGGAGAGGCCTGGGGGCTTCTGGGAAGGAGCAGGCAGACAAGTTCAGAGGGGCCTGCTGGCTCTGTCCAGGGCCCCCCCCCCAGCTGGTGGTGTGGGTTGTGGGAGTGCAGGGGTGCTGTGTGCCCATGGCGGCCCGCGTAGAGCCAGCTGCCCCGAGAGGTCGGGGTTGGCTGGTGCCCGGGTTCCGAGCCGTGCAGAGCACGCGTGCTGTCTCCAGGGAGCCCAGCCGCACACTGCCCGCAGGAAGGCGAGGCTTGCCAGGTGGCCATCCGGCACATGGCGGCCTCAGCCCCGAGGGGAGGGTCCCACACAGCCAGCCCCATCTCGGACCCCGTCCATCCCATATGCCACCCCCACCCCCATGACATCTTCAGAACCGTGTCGCCCCATCCCGGGGCAGGGGCTCAGGCAGCAAAGGGAGGGGAGGACCTCTTTCCCCGCCCACGGCCCCCACGCTCTCTGCTGCGCTCCGAGGGCGCACATGCTTCTCTCTGGCCTCCCCAGCCGCCTCCGCCTCCTGCCGTCCACGCTCAGCTGCCCCCCTCCCCTCCACCCGCCGCCTCCACCTCTCACTTTCCTCTGTGCTTCCTTCTGTAGGAGCCTCAAACCACCGTCATTCACAACCCCGTGGACGGGACCAAGGTACCGCCGCCCCCTCACCACCCCCTTGGGAGCCTGTGCTCAGGCAGGAGGCAGGTGCCCTGGCCAGGGGCAGGTCTGGGGTGTTGCCCCAGGGAGGCCCCCAGGCTAAGAGTTGGGGGGGCAGGTGTGCAGGGACCCCTCTTGAGGCAGGACACGGGGCCTCAGAGGTCCACGCCGCCCCTCGGGACAAGGCCCCAGGTGCCGCCCTCTCGGGCATGGCTGTACTGGGTCCGCCGCCCACCGACGGTGGGGGCCCAGAGCAGGGTCCACTTCTCAGGACCCTCTGTGCTGTCCGTCTGGCGCTGGCCATGGCCAAGCCCAGCATAGCCGGGAGCCAGGCGTGCAGGGCGGCCTCTGGGGGTCCCCGGGAGGAGGGAGCAGCACAGACGCCCTTGCCCGCCCCCCCCCCCCATTGCTCACCTCTGCCCCCAGTGCTTCCTGCTGAGCCAGCCCGTGTCCTCCATTGCTACTCTCTGCTCTGGCATCTCCCACCGCATTGGCACCTGCACCCGGGGCCGGAGAAGGGGCTGGCTCTTGGGGTGGCAGGAGGGGCGGCGGGCAGCCGAGCTGTGTTTCTAGGACCAGCACCCCCCCAAGTCCGCAGACTCCCCACCCAGCCCTGGGTTGCCCAAAGGGCGCCCCACACCCTGGCTGTGGGCCAGGACCAGGGGACCATGGGCCACTGCCTCTCAGCCAACCCAGGCTCGAGGTGCCAAGAAGGGCCTGGGTGTCTTCCTGCTTTTTGGCTCAGGATGGGTGCTTCTGGGACCCCGTGTCTGGGGTGAGACTCGTGTTTTCCTTGCAAGAGGCCTCTAAACAGCCTTCTGGGGCTGTGGTATGAGCCCCGATCCTACAACCTGCAGTCCTTCCCCCGCCCCATCTCTGGGCAGGGCCTCGAGCAGGGCATTCATTCGGGGCCAGAGGGAGGCCCTGGAGGACTGTTAGGGTGCTCTTTCTGAGGAGCAAGCAGGCCTCCTGGGAACCCCGTGACAGTTGATCGGTACCTGGTTTTGGAGTGGGGCGGGAGGTGCTGGGGCTGCCTGTCTACCCTTGGAGGCTCCCTCAGGGGAGAGACCAGGCCTGACTGGACAGTCCAGGCATGAGGGGCAGGCGGCCCCTTCTGGGGCAGGAGCTGTGAGTATGGCTGCACCCTGCCTGGGCCAGCCAAGGCTATTGAGGACCTCCTGGAAGCTTCCGGTCCTGTCTGCCCAAGTACCTGGGCTGGGGGTGCCTTTCCACTTCACCGGGGGTCCCAGAGAGCCCGTTTTCCTCTCTTATGGGAGCCGTCCAAGCACAGGGAGTCTTTCCTCTGGGCGTGCCTGGTCGGGAGAAGGCGCGTCTGGGCCAGGGCCCTTGGGTACGTGAGCGGCCTGGGGCCGGGTGACCGCCTGTGGGATGCTGGGGCAGTCACCTCCAGGCCCCATGTGGCGGGTGGGACAGAGCCCGCATCCTGACACGCTGCCTCCCTGTGTGTCCCCAGGAGTCCTCGGACAGCACTCACACCACCATAGAGGACGAAGACACAAAAGGTGCGTGGGGGGCGGGGCGGGGCAGGGCGGCAGGGCATCTGTGATGTGGGCACGGTGTGCCCACAGGGGGCTGCCCAGCGCGTGCGGGCTGACAGGCGGGCGTCCGGACCAGCGGGGGAGCTCCCACCCTGCGGGGGACCAAAGGTCATGGTTGAATTTGCTCCGTTTCTTCTCTTGGACTTCCTGAAGTCTGTGACTCCACCTGGCTAGCAGGTGCTTAGTAGACAGCCAGCAACGGGGCTTTTCCTGGGTTCCGGCTGTTTCCACGGCCAGTGAGGGCGGGTGGGCTGCACCTGTGCAGGGTCAGCGGCCTGGCCAGGCACCCCTTCTTCTGCTCCCAGCTCTGTCTGCCTCCCCAGGGAGGGCAGGTGGCGTGTGGGGCCACCTGACCCTGTGGGCCACACGCTCACAGAGATCAGGCCTGAGGGCCCTCAGGGCTGCCCCAGGGCCTGATGGCCAGCCATTCTGCCCATCTGGGGGACGCAGTGCGGGGAGCACAGGCCCCTGGACGAAGGGAGAGTGGGTGTCCGTGTGGTTTCCACAGACAGACTGACACAGGCCCAAGCTGTCAGCACGGAGGCCTCCCTGAGGCCCTGGGGGGTGGGGGGCCTAAGTGGCCGGAGCCTGCAGGAGGGTCGCCCAGCCCAGACCCCAGCCACACCCTGTCTGGCTGGGCGAGCAGACTCGGGGCGGGCCCCTCGAGCCCTGAAGGGCCCGGCCCGGCCCCTCCCCCACACCCCCAGCCTGGCCTCCCGTGTGCCCACTGCCCCTGGAGCCCACCGTGAGCCGGGCCTGGGGTTCTCCAGCCTGACCCCGCTCGCCCTGTCTTGTGCCTGTCTTTCCTGCGGGCCCCCTCCTGTCTCCCGTTTCGTGTCTCACGTGTCTGCCGCAGCCCCCAGGGTCCCTGACATCCTGAGCTCCGTGGGGAGGGACTTGGGGGCCCTGGAAGCTGAGGCCCCTCTGCCCGCTCTGTGTAAGTAGTGCCCCGGGCCTGCTGCCCCTGCCATGCACGGCCTCAGCTGCCCTGCCCGGCTGCCCGAGGCTAACAGGCCCGGGCCCGGCTGGACGCCTGGCACTAACTCCACAGGGCAGCTCCCAGCCACTCCGCGCCTCCCCCTCCCACCTGCGCTGCAGTCCACCCCAGGGTCTCCCGGGCCGTCCACGGTGCTTCCTGCCCTCCTCCGACTGCCTGCCGGACCGTCCCGGTCACAGCACCCAGCGGGGCCCCAGGGAGGTATAGACACAGCGCCTTACAGAAGCCTCTCCCCACCACAGGCCTGCGGGCTGGAAGGGAGAAGGCAGGCCGTCCTGCCCAGCTGGGTCCTCCCCGGGGTTCTGCACACACTGGGCTGCCTCTGTTCACTTCAGGGCGGGGGGGATACCCTCTGCCCGCAGCACCTGCCCGGCCATTCCTGGAGCCGCCTCCTGTGTGCGCCCGTCCCCCACGCCCCCACATCCGCCTTCACCCCCCCACATTCGCTCTACCCTCGGTAGCCCCCAGTGTCCCCCTCTGCGCCCCTTCGGCCCTCCATGTCCCACTCCGCCCCCTCCTGTCTCTGGCTTGGCTCGTCAGCCCATAGCTTCTCTGTCCTGTGTGCCCCCCACCTGCCTCCTGTTCACGTCTGGTCTGTTCCACCCCAGCCCCCAGGCTCTCTGACATCCTGAACACGGTGAGGAGGGGCTCAGGGGCCCCGGAAGCCCAGGGCCCCCCACCCTGCCTATCTCCCGCTCTCCCAGGGCCCCTGCCCACCCTGTGTAAGTAGCACCTTGAGTGGCGCCCTGGCTGCTCCGTGGGGGCTCACAGGGGTGTGGAGACCCCTGGCTGTGGTACAGGGCCCCTCACTCTGGGAAGGGGCCAGCTTTGGGGGGGGCAGAAAGGGGGGCACAGAGAAGCGCACATGGAGGTGTCTGGCCTTAGAATGTGAGTTTGTGGCCGAGGACGGGCATGTGTGAATGTGTGTGTGTAGGAAGGAATCAGAAGCAGTCGGGGTGAACTAGAGCCTCAGGCCTGTGATCTGTGGGCCCGCGTGACGCAGACAGTGCTGGCTGCAGGGGCCGAGGGCGGGGGCGGGGTGAGGGGGTGAGGGGCCGGCGCTGGGCTGGGGCCCCTCCCCAGGCAGGGAGGGAGGAGCCGGCTGCCCCAGCCTGCCTGCTGACTGCCGCGGGGATCGCTTACAGGGATGGGTGACACCCCAGGGCCGCACCCCGCCCACCTGCCAGGAGACACCGGGCAGGGAGGTGCTGTCGGATGAGAGGCTGCGGGCCAGGGGCTGGGCATGGCTGGGGAGTGGCTGGGTGAGTGCCGCGCCTGGGGGCCAGGGCAGGGTGGAGGAGGAGCGGAGCACCACAGCCGTGGGGGGCACGGGCGCTGCAGGCAAGCTGAGCCCACCCCAGCGGCTGCGAGGGCATGGGCCGGCCGCTGGACAGCAGTGCCCCCCCCCCCCCCGGGAGCTCTCTGTGCTTGGCCAGAGGGCCGAGGGCAGGTGCAGGTGCCTGGGCTGGCTTGGCCAGGGACTGGAGGCCCGTCACGGAGGCGGGGTGGTCTCCTGGTGAGGGAGGGGGGCCGGGCTGTGGCAGGTGCGCAGCAGAGCCTGGGGAGGGGTCGGCAGCATCCGTGTCCCCGTTTCCTCGGCCACTCTTGGCCTTGGTTTCACAGATAAAGAAGCAGAAGCTGGGGTACGTGGAGAGGTGCCCCCAGGGGGGCCACCCGCCATGGGACCCCCGCCCAAGGGCTGCGCGCTGCCCTTGGAGTCTGGATAGTAGGCCAGGTTGGGGGCTCTGAGGACAGGGCATGCTGTGAGTGCTGAGCACCCCGGGCTGATCTTTGGGGTCTCCCTTGAACCAAACTACAGATGTGGGGGCCACAAAAAGGGGCCCTGAGCGGGACTGAAGGGAGGGGTGTGGGGGGCACGGAGCAGCAGGACTGGCGACTGGCGGGGGGGTGAGCGCTAGGGGAGCTGAGGCCCCCCAGGGAGCAGTGTCCTTGCTCCAGCATGTGCCCTCCCCCGAATCCTCAGCACTGCAGCTCCTTCAAGTGCTGGGCGGTCCGCGGTGAAGGACAGGGGTGGAGTCAGCCCCGAGAGGGGACTCGTGCGGAGCTGGCTCTCCAGACTCGCAGCTGTGGGCGTCAGAGTTGGGGTGCCCCCAGTTCCACCTCTGGGGCCAGGGTCTGCCTCACCCAGCACTGAGGCACAGGCGGCGGGGGGCTGTCCCCGGGGTGGGTTAGGGGCATGTGCCCATCAGCTGTCGTCATGTGTAAATGGGCTCGGTGCCCGCTGGCCTGGGCCATGTTCCCCATAATCAGGGATTACACCCAATCCAGGCTGATCCTGCACAGCTGCCCACCTGGGGTGGCTGGGGGCTCACAGTGCCCCTGCAGCTGCCAAGGGAAACGGATTAGGGCCAGCCTGGGGTCACTGGGGTCCCCCAGACCCTTTGCCAGCAGCCCGGCCTCCTGGCCCGTTAGCTCGTCCCAGGAGAGGGTGTGCATGGGCTCTGGTCCACCCCGGGACCCCTTCCGCACCACACCCTTGCCGGAGTTGCCTGGGGCGGGGTCACAGCTCACAGCCCCACCTCCCATGGAGACCCCACACTGTGCGCCCCTGGGGGAGGCAGGGCTGCCATGCAGGGCAGGGGTGGGTCTGGGTGGCAGCCCCACTGAGTCTCACCCTGCTTGTCTGCAGAATGCCTGTGACGCCGGTTCCCAAACTCCAGGCTCCGCGATGTGTGCCGTCACCCTGATTCCCTCCGGGTGACTTTATACTCTCATTTTGTATCACAACTGGCTTAAAAACACTCCACAATACTTCACTAAGTGGAAGATCGGGTTGACTTACCACAGTACGGGGTGCACGGGACATGAGACAGGACGTGTCGGGCTGTTCCGGTCGCAGGGCTGTTGGCTGAGGGCTCCCGTGGGCTGCTGGGGTGAAGAAGGGGGGCCCACCGGTGTTGGGTGTCGGACACGCAGGCGCTGCCCACCCTCACACGGGCGGAGGGGGGCCTGGCTCGGGGGTCGCCGGGGAAAATTGGATTGCAGTGGTGACAGGGACCTGGGAGGGCGGATGAGTGTCCCCGAAGCGGAAATGCCCAGCCGGAGGGCAGAGGGGGGGCAGGCTGCTGGGAGGCCATAGACCGGTGATGCAGAGGGGCCCAAGATACCCAACACTGTCCTGCCCCGGGTCCCAAGACTGAGAGCGGAGAATGGCAGGTGTCGGGACAGGCGGACGTGGGGTCCCTGGAGCCTGCAGCCCACCGTGCTGGAGGCCAGCTTCCAGGGCCGACCGGACAGTGGGGGGCCTGGGCTTGCGCAGAGACCGCCCGGAGCCCAAACCCTGGCACGGTGCGGACACAGAGTTCGGTGAGAAATGGAAACGGGACCTTCGCACAAGTGCAGCTGGGTCCAGAGGGAGGGTTTTCTGAGGTAGGAGAAACCCGCAGGGTGGTGCACACACGAATCTCCATGTGCAAACGTGCCCTCCCCCGTGACACCAGTGCACGCGTGCACCCAAGCCCTCGGGTGTCACGGAGCTCCTGCTGCCCTCACTATTGAGACCCCGTGCAGCACATGAGGCCTGCCTGGGCTCACGTGCAGCACGCGGCGCCCACCTTTCAGGCGGGCATCTGTGGGAGGGGGCACGCGGACAGCCGAAGGTGCTGGCAGCGGGGAGGACGCACGAGCAGCCCCGTGCCAGGGCTGTGGGCACATGCTTCAAAATGTGGAGCGCACCCTTCGGAGACCCTGCCGCCTGTGCTCTGGGACTTGAGCCCGCGCATCAGCTCACGCGTGTGCCGTTCCCCGTGGCACTGGTGGCTGGCGTGCAGACAGATACCCAGCCGCAGGGGCAGAGAGCTGCTAGGGAGCCAGGGAAGCTGCTGGAAGCGCCGTGCCCCTGGAGGGAGCCCATGGGGAGGAGCTCCCGGGACCCTGCACTGGCCAGCTCTGAGGCTTAGGGATCCCTGGGATCCGTGTGCGCGCACACCCAACGTGTGCGCGCAGTCGAGGGTGGATACGTCCGTGCGGAAGCGGCTAAGCACCCACCTGAGGACAGTCCTTCTCTGGGGAGGGGGAGTGAAGCATGAGATTTAGAGGAACACGGGCATTCACAACTCTATCTGGAAGGGTTTATTTCGTTAAAAAAGTCTCAGCGGCCATGAAAGTGGTTTGAATCCGTGGGGTGTGGGGCTATGTTATTCTCTGAAATAAGCCGTGATTCGAGAGACAACAGGGACCCCAGGCCTGTCCCGGTGGAGAGGCCAAGGGGACAGGAGCCCAGAGCCCTGGGACGGAGGGTGTGAGGTGGGCTGGTGGTGCCCGCGGGGGGGCACCCAGGCCCAGGATGCATGCAGGTGGGGACTGGAGCCGGTGCGAGGCCAGCGGCTGTCCAGGGGCTTCCAGGGAGAGACTCCGCGCCCTCCTCCTTGGCCCCCCCCCGGCCCTACTCCCTGGTCCTTGCTCCCAGTCCTCACCCTGCAGACCCCGTCCCCTCGCTGCTTCACAGCCGGCCCTTACAGGGATCATTTCTATAGTTCGTTACTAGATGTTTCTAAAGAGGTGTTGCGTGCACGAAGAAGGGTTTGTGAGCCGAATCCAGGTGGGCAGGCGCCAGGAGGGCCGGTCCCAGGGGACACGGCCGGAGGCACTGGGGGCCACATGGTGGGCTTGGCTTTCCTTTCTGCGTTCTCCAGACCGTCTATGTAAGACAGACAGGGGCTTGGTGGACTTGGAAACGTGGGGCCTGTGGGTGACCTTGGAGGGAGCCATGTGAGCTGGACCGATTGGGCGCGGGTCCCTCCTGGGGAGGAGAGGCGGGTGGGGACTGGGGACGCTCTGCCCTAGGCCCTCTGCAGGGCCTCTTGGGGTGGTCCTCGGTCACTGGGTGGCTGTGTCCCTGCAGCGCGGAAGCAGGAGGTCATCAAGATCACCGAGCAGCTCATTGAGGCCGTCAACAACGGGGACTTCGAGGCCTACGCGTGAGCGGGGCATCTGGGCTGGGTCCCGGGAGGCCTGGGGTGGGCTGTGGGGGCTTCCCTGCGGTGGAGGGAGGGGCGGGCCACGGCAGGGGCCTCTCCTCACCTGGGTCTGCCCCCCAGGAAAATCTGTGACCCGGGCCTGACCTCGTTCGAGCCTGAAGCTCTGGGCAATTTGGTCGAAGGGATGGACTTCCACAGATTCTACTTCGAGAACCGTGAGTCGGGGGGCCGGGTGCAGGGCGTGGGCGGCGCGCCCCCCGACAGCAATGCAGGGCTCCCCAAGACCTCCAGGCCGCCCCGGCCCCCCCCCGCCCCCCCTTGCGCTCCCGGAAGCGGAGGTTCCCCGGGGCGCCCTGCGAGCCCCTGCCTCTGCCCGCAGTGCTGGCCAAGAACAGCAAACCCATCCACACGACCATCCTGAACCCGCACGTGCACGTCATCGGGGAGGACGCCGCGTGCATCGCCTACATCCGCCTGACGCAGTACATCGACGGGCAGGGCCGGCCCCGCACCAGCCAGTCCGAGGAGACGCGTGTGTGGCACCGCCGCGACGGCAAGTGGCAGAACGTGCACTTCCACTGCTCGGGCGCACCCGTGGCTCCGCTGCAGTGAAGGTGGGTGCCGGTGCAGACCCTCCCCGGGGGGCGCGGGGGGCGCCGGGCCTGAGCCGCCCCCGGGCTGCAGGCAGGCAGCACCCCATCCTTGCTCTGCCAGTCCTCCCTGTTGAGGGGGGGTGTTGCACATGAGAGCTGACCCCCCCTTCCCCCTCCGCCCGGGGCAGGGCAGACGAAAGCTAACCCCCCCGTCCGCCGACCCCCTCCTCCCTGGGGGGCGCACATAAGAGCTGACCCCTCCCCACACACACCCTCCTCCAGGGGACGGCAAACGTGAGCTGACCCCCCACGCTCCCCCTCCTCCCCTTTCAGAGCTGCGGCCGGCTTCGTGGGACAGACTCGGTGTTTGGAGCCCGGCCGCCCTCCCGCGGCCTGCCTGTCGCATGTTTGTGTCTGCCTCGTTCCTCCCCTGGTGCCTGTGTCTGCAGAAAACCAAGACCGGACGTGATTTCTTTTTAACACCAAGATGACAACCACCACACACACACACAAAATTGATGTTGGATGAAACAGGAGAACAAAACAAAGGAAAAAGCTGTACAAATCACTGGCATTTGTGGGGCTTCGAACCGACGGGCACCCCCCCCCCACACTCCATGTGTCTGTCCGCCCCGGCCCCTCGGGGACTGGTGGGGCAGTGACCGCGTCCACAGGGGCCGGGCCGAGGACCCGTGTGTGTTAGATCTGCATACCCCCGCCGTGCATGGCTGCCGTCAGGAGTGCCGGCCACGTGGGGCCAGGGGGACCCGAGCACGGCTGTTCCCCTCCCTTCCTCTCATGCCCCCAGCATGGACGAGCAGTGCAGAGGCCAGGCCGGCCCGCGGGGCCCCAGTGAGCCATCTGAGACGCCCCCGCGGGCCCAGGGCTCCTGCTCCGGTCCCTCCAGGGCCAGGGAGGTGCAGCTCTCACGCCTGGTGGGAGACTGGCCAAGAGGACACTGTTGGCGGCAGTCCCATCGGGGAGGGGAACCCTTGGGCTGGCCTCCCTCCTATTCGGGGTGCCTCCCCTTCTGCCCACCTCGCCCCTCGCCAGCTGGCACAGCCACAGAGGGGCTCCGGGCTTGGTCAAGACACAGGAAGGGGAGAGGGGTCAGAAGGCGGGTGAGTGGCGCCCTGGGCTCCCGGTGGGTACAGCAGGCGTTTGCGGACGGCGCTTTCGGAGTCTGGCCCAGAGCAGAGGGAGGGCCGGCTGCCCTGGGCCTGAAGGGCAGGGCGCAGCGGGCCCCCCCCTCACCCCCCACCAGGCCTCTCCAGGCTGCAGTGTGGGACAGGGACCCCAGAAGGAGAAGACAGGCTGGGCCCATCGCGAGGTACCCCCTGCGTGCTGGTGGGCACCGTGGTGAGGCTCGGGGATGGGCCCCGTGGTAGGATGCCTGCAGAGAGCGCCCGGGGTAGCTGGCCAGGTGGGGTGGTCGGGTTGTGATCGCAGAGGTGCAGGACCCTGCCGCCCCAATACCTGCCCCTTAATTCACATTTGCAACGAGGATTTTCTTTATCTTCCCCCACAAATCAAGCCAAGGGAGGGGTACAGAGTGGGGAACGGGACACAGGAGGCTGGTCTCCAAGGGGACTGTCCATCAGCAGACACTCAGAGTGGATGCTCACCTGCCTGTCCACGGCTGTGTTCAGGACAGCTGTCCCCACCCATGGACACAGGGTAAACATCTGCCAGGCTCCCTGGGCCGCGGGCAGTGGCAGAGCTCACCGGGGACAGCGTGTGGCCCGACCACCCTCACCTCCGGGGGCCTCCTCCCCTCCTCCCCTCACCTCTTATCTCCACGGAGCTGCCTGTCTGGGATAATTTGGGGATTTTTTCTGGGGGATAGTTCTTTTGCATGACCCCTCTCGAGCAGGCCACACCTGCTCGTCTAGCTAGATGTCGGAGGTGTGGCCGCTCTGCGGAGGGCCGGCTGCCCGCAGCGCTGGCCGGCCGCCCCCCCCCTCTTTTTGCTGAGTTCCATTGTCTTTTCTTTCTGAGCCTTGTAAGTGTAAAAAATCATTATTTTGTTCTGTCTCGGGAAACTGCAAATAAAAGAAAAACAGGACAAACGGCTTCACGTGCAGCTGGGGGCTTCATGCCAGGGCCCCCCGAGCCCCAGCCCCCAGCCCAGCTGCTCCCCCATGCAGCCCTGCCAGACCCCGGGTGCACCCTCGTATGAAGATGGGCAGCCTCCCCTTCACACTGGCTCCCCAGGCCCTGCCAATGCTTGTCTGTACCTCAGGCCTCGTGCTTTCCTGGGACAGAAATGTGGGCCTCAAAACAATCCGAGATATAAACACTCCCAACTCGTGTGTGCAAGTGACTTCTGGTAAGGGCGCTCCCGGCAGTCACTAGGACAGGAGCCCTTGACTGTGGCTTGGTGCCTGGCAGGTGCTCTCAGGAGGGAGGGCCGTGCCAGGGAGCGCAGAGGATCCGAGAGCAGGGTGCAGAGAATCTAGGACACAGCCCTCAAACGAGTGGCACAGCATCTAGGGTTCCACTCACCTATCAGCTGTAATCCGAGGACACTTCCCAGGCCAGGCCTCCCCAAGGAGGCAGAGCGCAGCCCCGCCCCGCCCCGCCCCGGAGGCTCCTGAGCCCAGAGGTGTGGGGTGTGACCTGCAGTGGGCCGGGTGGGCAACTACGGAGCCGGGCCCGTGAGACAGCCTTCGGTTGGTCCCTGTTAAATGGCACCTGCTTTGACCAAAGTTCCCTAGGCCTCAGAAGACCCCATACTAAGAAGCTGGTGCCCTTGGTCCAGCCAGAAATCCCAAGGCTGCTTCTCATTTCCAGGGTCACAAAGAAGGCTGAAAGCAAGGCCCGGGGCCAGCAATGAAACAGGCAGAGAAATCCTCAGACCCTCTGATGATCAGCTAGCAATTGCTACTCATTCCCTAAACTGGGACCAGACTGGAGACTCCTTGGCCTGCACGCACCCCAGGAGACACGGATGCCCCCACACACCTGCAGGGCCGCGCTCCCCCCGCGCCCCCCCCCCCAGCTCCTGAGGAGTTTCCATCCATGTGGCCCAGGCTGCTGCGGCTGTGGGGTAGCTCCCCAGGCCGGTTCCCGTAGGTCGGCTTTAGGGCTCCCCCCGCTGGCTCCTGCTAGAAAGGCCGGCGGCCAGGGTTGGGTCTAGGCAGCCACCACCTCCCCTGGAGAGGCGCTGCCCTGCAGGTGCACACAGGGAGGGGCAGGCTTCCCGGGAAAGAGGCCCCTGAGGCTCGAACAAAGCAGAGGACTATTTTGGAATTTCAAAAGACAACTTTATCCAGATAAGAACCTTTCAGATAGAACAGAAAAGTTAGGCGGCAGTTACTAAAATACACTCTTAGCCAAAGGTTTCACGTGGGACCACAGGAGCTGAGGAAACGCTGGTTTGGGTATGAGCCAGCCCCGCCCTCTGCCCAGCCCCCCCTGCAGATCCGCGCCTCCAGACCCAGCTCCGCCCCAGCGACCTCCAAAGTTGGAGGAGTCAGACACCACCGTCCTTCCTAAGGGGAGGTCACAGCCCCCTGGGCACCAGTGAGCAGGTTGGGTCTGCGCGTTCCAGGGGGTCCCTTGGGCAGGCTATTTTAGGAGTAGGCCAGCTCCTTTGGCCAGCACAGTGCCCAGAGCAGGAGGATAGCCAGCGGGTAAACATGCTGGGGTGGGGCATGGGGGTCCTCCGAAGCCACGTAGGTGCCACCTTCTGGTCCAAACAAGGAATTCAGGGCCCAGCACTTTGTGTCAGGACAGTGGGACATCTTGGGTAGGGCAAGAACCAACATGCTCAGGGAAGGACCCCAGGAAACGAGACCCTGACACCACCCCAGCAGGGGCTTCTGTGGGGACCAGGTGCCAAGGGTGCATCACGAGCTCACGTCCTCAGGAAGCGTTGCAGGATGAGGGAAGGCAGTCTGGACCATGGCAGTGGGGCCTGAGGGAGAGGGCAGGGCTCAGGGCTGGGGCTTATGCCACTGGGGGTAGGTTCTCAGCAGTGCTCCTGCGGAGGTCAGGCCACATGTGGGGGCACTGGGAGTCCTCGGGATGGCTGGTACCTGGTCTTGGTGGCCAGGAACGGTGGCCACAGCAAAGGCCACTTGCTAAGGCACGCAGGCCCCAGGTGGTCGCTAACAGTCTGGTTGCCAGACAGGTGAACACGGGTTGAGAGAGGCAGTATCCGCTGCTGTGACCTGGCGGGCAAAGCTAAGCTGCGAGGCAGGGCAGACGTCCCCCACCCCACAGGCATGTGTGTGTCCTGTGGATGAGCAGTGCCCTCGGCAAGCAGTCAGTCATCTGTGCACCCGGCTCGTCCCAGCGCGGGCCTGGCCTGCTCACCCCCCGCTCCGCCCCCTCAGCCCTGCAATCGGGGCTTACCCTGGCTTTACTGGAGTGTTAATACAGTCAGCGCACAAACACCATCCCAAAGCGGACGGAGGACCAACAAGCCTGGCTCCGACCTCCCCAGGAGCCTCGCACAAGTTGGGGGCCCACGGGTTTCCCAGGGGTTAGAGACGAGCCCTTCAGCGTCTACGTGAGTCACTCAGAGTTTATGGTTTCATCTGGCCCAAGAATACACCTTTGGCGGCCTCAAACGAGCTTTTCAAAAATCACCAGACACGTAAGTTTGAATGTTCCCCAGCCCCAGGCCCTTCCACGGCCCCTCAGTTCCTGCCAGGAGCTCCCAAGTGAAAATGTGTCCCCACGTGGGTCTCTCCACGGCGGCTCTGCTTCTCCAGCGGCTGCGGGTCTGATGCCGATGGCCGGGCCATCTCGGCACGGGGGCCTCCGCGGGCCGCCATCACATGATAGCGCAGCACGAGTTCTGTTTCCGGGCCTGGACAGAAACACACCGGGGCTGGAGAGGCAGAGGCAGCCCCATGGCGGCACAAAGGCTGGTGGGGGGGTGGGGTGGGAGGCAGGGGCCGCGGAGTGGGCTGCGGGACTGGGAGCACCTGCAGGTGGACCAAGCTTCTGACTCTGCACCAGCCTGGGTCCCCCAGTGCCACCCGACCCCGTGCACGGAAGTTGTTCTGACAATGTCCTTAGAGAACGGGTTCACAGGCGCCCCCCCGCCGAGCCGCATGGCCGTCTCCCTCCCAGGCTCACGGGAAAGCACAGGTGCATGCCTGGCCCTGCTGCAGGCCACGCCAGTGCACCACTTCTGTCAAAGGGAACCGAGGTGGAAGGGCCGCTCTGGGAAGCCTGGGGGCCTCACCGCTCAGCGGGCAACAGGAACGTGCGAAGCTGGGGGCGTGGGGGGAGCAGTCGGAGCCAGGGGGCGGGCCTCTGCCCACGTCGGCTCCCCCGGCGCCCGAGAGACCCTGCACTACTGCCAGACCTGGGCCACCCCCTCTGCTCGCCCCATGCATCCCCGAACGTCCTAGGGACTCATCTGGTGGTGGGAGCCCGCGGGATGGCCAGCACTCACTGTCTTATAGAAGGCTTTGGACTGTGTTCCCAGCACTTCGGACTTGGACACCAGGTCGTCTAGCCTCTCCCCTCGCTCCAGCAGAGACTCCATGGTGTTGTGCTGGACACAGAAACAAGCAGACGCTCTGTGTCCACGAAGCAAGTGGACACGAACCCTTCCTGCGGTTTAGTCACAGGAGGCGCTTCTCTTGTGGGCTCCTCCCCCCACATGAGCGTCGTGAGCGTCCCCGCCGAGCAGGACCCGGAGCCCATTCCGGGGGACCCCCAGCACAGGCTCAGACCACCACGCTCGCAGCCACGGTACACACGCGGACTCCCACTGGACACACCGCCTCCCGCTGCCTGAAGGGACCCCTGTTCCAACGCCGCACTCGGGGAGGGCCTGCACAGACGGCCGTCGCCGGAGCACCCGCGAGCCCCTCTCGGGCTTCACTGGAGCAAGAAGCGCAAACCTGGGCACGCGAACGGGAACCGGCCCCGGAGGGGGAACGAGCGAAACCGTCGCCTCTCGCTATACAGAGCTCATGGCTCCGTTGCTGGCGCAAGAACTGAACGAGGCGAAGGGCCGCACGGGGAGGCGGCACAGCCGGCAAGCCCGTTTCTGCAGGCACTGGGGGCCACCGCCACGCCGGCCGCCCGCGCTCAGGGAGCAGAACGGCCCAGGGGCGCGCAGGGCCGCGGCTCAGTGAGAACACGCAGAGCAGCCCGTGAAGAGAGACGGAGACACCTGAAGACCCTCCCACCTCACTTCCGATCCACAGCCCCCAAACCACATCATTTGCAGCATGATGTCTGCAGCGCCGCCCCCCCGCCCCGCCCCGACGGTTTCCGAAGAACGCAGCTTCCTGGGTCCTGCCCAGGCCGGCGTCTGACCCCAGGAGACGGCACAGAGCATGAAGGCCGAGCCAGAGCCCGCAGGGTTTTTCTGGGCACCTTGGCCACTCACTTCAGGTTCACTACCTGCTGGGCTTTGGTGTCCCACATCCGCCACCTACTGGGAGCGGGGTGGGTAAGGACAAGCTCCCGGTCCTGAGGGCTCACACGCCCGTCAGGAAGACGTGTGCACTGGTCGTGACCGCGCGGTGGCGCCCGGGAGGCCGGCGTGTGGGGCACCTGCACGGGCGCCAGGCAGTGTGCACTTGACCCCTTTCCTGAGAGCTCCTGAGGGACGGTAAGCGGAAGAACCACAGATCGGTGGCTGCTGCCCGGACACAATGGTGGCAGGTGGGAAGCCAGGGACCAGTGCCAGGCAGAGGCCATGGGACCAAACTTGAGGAGAGAACAGACCCAGCAAGTGCCAAAGAGAGCTTGGAATTACAGAAAGAGAGAAGGAGGAACAGAGAGGGAGAAAGAGAGACAGCCAGAGAAGGAGAGGGAGGGAGACGCTGAAGCAGCAGCTGCAGACCAGCAGAGCGCTCAGGGAAGATGCGGGCTTCCTGCTCTCCTGACCAGGCCTGAGGATCCCCGGTCTGTGTTTAGTGAGCACGAGTGGCTTCTCCTGCCCCCAGAGCCCACACCGCGAGGGAGGCACCTACTGGGCTTGGAGACCAACGGCGGGGGGCAGGCAGCAGCGGCAGGGAAGCAAAGCCCAGAACGGAGACCGTCACAGCGGGGAGGGATCGTGGCCACACCAGGTCTCGGCTGGGGCTCTCATGCAACAGGGGTGTTGCACCCAGACGGGTGCAGGTAGCACAGACCCGGGGTCACCTGGGCAGTCTGGCTTTGGGGCCTCGGACGCTCGGGGAGAGGCAGGCAACCACCCCTTCCAGCGGAGCATTTGCATGAGGGCTCCCCCGACCCCAAGCCTGACTGTGTGCCTGGCAGCCCCCCGCCCCAGCTCCAGGACGCACTTGCCCCTGCTCCCACTTACCAGAATGATTTTGGTCTCATCCAGCTCAGCCTGCACTTTAGTCATGGGGTCAGCTTCTCGGGGGTTCTAGGGAAGAGCCCAAAACAACATCAGGAGTACAATGACCACCTGGAAACAAAGCTCAGACCAAGGGAGCTGGACAGGGTTTGCCAAGTTCACCAACCACAGGCTGCTCACACACACAACAGAGAGGGGAAAGCCTGCCGTGGAGCTCGGGTTCCAGGTCTCAATGTGAGCCCTGCATGTTTCAGGGGGACACCGACACCAAGGCTGCCAGGAAATCGCCCAGAGCCACGACCCGCAGGGCCGCTCCGCTCCTGGCAGCTTCTGTCCACCCTACCTGGTACCGACTCAGGTGGCCGTCTAGGGCCGTGTAGTCGATGCTGGCGGGGGATCCGACTGGCCACTCTATCCTGTCCACGTGCTTGGAGAACTCGTCTAGGACCTGCAGGACAGAAGAGCCCATCAGCACCCGCAGCCATGGAACCTGAACGGAGAGAGAGGCTGTCAGGCTCCGGGAGGAGGAGCACAGCTCATGGCCAGGGGCAAATCTAGGCTCAAGTTTTTAAGATTTCTGGCAATTAAAAATGAAGTATACCAACCTGACACTAACCTCATCTGCAGAAAAATAAAAGCATCAGAATTTTAAACTACCAGTCTCCACTTCTATCGGGTTATACGATTCTAGGAGAAAAGGTCCCTTCCCTCTCATTTTCCCAAACAGTTCTTCAAAAAGGAGCTAGATCCTTTGGGTTAAAGCAACCAGCAGATCTCACGTGCTCGTGAAAGAATCAGTGCTCAGCGAGGCCAGAGGCCAGCATCCTCGAGAGGTTTCTGACGAGTACTGTGGCGCTCAGCCCCATGGTGGAGCCGGACCCACTTGGGGGAAAGGAACGTCTGGGGCGCGGGGATGGCCTGATGGAGGGGGGTGGCCACAGGGCCGAGCACGGAGTCGGCTGCAGCTTGCAGGAACCCCAGTCACCCCCGGGGAAGGCAGAGGCAGGAAGAGTGGCCAGAGTGGTGGCCAAGGCCAGCCTGGCCACACTGCCAACTCACCTTCTCCAGTAAGGTAAAGGCTACCCGGGATGGGTACTCGCTGTCAGCAATGACCACTCCCGCGAGACTGTCATTTCGCACGTAGACGTGGCACAGATATTCTAGGGAGAGGTTAGACACGTGCAGGGTGACGTGAGGGCTTTGGACATCCTCACCCTGATCGTGAAAGCATCACGTTGCTGAGCCCTTGCCTGGTGGCTCAGTGAGACTCACACAGAACAGCGCAGGACGAAGCGTTGCCACCAGCACGGCCCAACACCAACTTAGGACGAGTAAATGCCCAGAGGCCCCTTGCACAAAGCCAGGCTCTAAAAGAGCCAGCAGGGGGTGCAGAAAACCGCCCAGGGGACGCTGCATTTCCCAGTCACATCCTGGAGCCCCAGCTCCAGCTTGGCCGTGTCTCCGAGAGCCGCAACTCTCAGAGGCTCTGTCCTGCTCCTGAGCTGGAGACCCCGGACAAGACCAGCAGCCTCCAACTGCTTAAAAATCCCTACGAGGGGGCGCCTGGGTGGCTTCGTCATTAAGCGTCTGCTTTCGGCTCAGGTCGTGATCACAGGGTCCTGGGATCGAGTCCCACATCAGGCTCCCTGCTCTGCGGGAAGCCTGCTTCTCCCTCTCCCACTCCCCCTGCTTGTGTTCCCTCTCTTGCTGTCTGTCAAATAAATAAATAAAATCTTAAAAAAAAAAAAAAGTTCCTACGAGAGTGGCCCTGTATAAGGAAATCACCTCTTGGGGCATCAGGTTTCCTGCTGTGGTGGGCTGGAGGGGTGAGGGAGGGAGAGGGGAGAGGAGAAAAGAGAAGGTCCACCTACAAAAGAATTCAGCCCTGCTGGCTGTGCTGTCAGTATTACTGTGCGAAAGTCATCAAATTATCCAAAGGTTCAGTCTGTACAGGGCTTCTACAAAATAGTCCTCATCCCCCGGTATGAATTTTTGTCACTTTCAAAAGGCTTTAGACAGGATACGGCTAACCATACCCCCAGGGAAAAAGGAACATAAGGGTTACAGCTGACCAATGAGACACTGCTCATGCCAGCGACGCTCACGCAGAACAGCCTGATGCTAACCATGTGGGAACAAAGAGGAGAGAGAGACTGTGAGCTCCTGAAGTCAGATGAGGGCAGCGATAAATGAGAGCAGGGCCGAGGTCAGGGTGGCCGCTGACGCTCCCTGGGCTCTGTCTACGTCCCCAAGTAAGCAAAGTGCAAATGTGCTGTCGAAGCGCACGCACTCCCCAGAACCGGAGAGGATGGCTCAGTGCTGGAGGACACAGCTCTCAGCAATCGCCAGGGAGGCAGGCCCGGAGAGAGACTGGCCACACAGCAGTGTTCACAGTCCAATCTCACCTCTGCGGTGTGGGCGGCACAGGGAGGCCGCATAGGGCACACACAGGGGGACCCCCGTCCCCTGGGCGTAATGGACATCTGCATCACCGACACACGGCCTCCGGGGCTGCAGCCCTGTCTCTGTCCAGTGAGCTTCCCACGATCTGTGTGACACAGCTGTTCTTCCTGAGTCGTCTGTGTCACACGGGCTTCCCAAAGAAGAGCCTCAAGATTCTTACAGGAAACCGGAATTATGAAGAAGTGAACGTAATGACCAAGAGGAAAACGTAACACGTTTTCAGATTCCTGGTCAAAAACCTAAAGAGCATCTGTTGGGAATCCTTGCTTGCGATGTGTCCAACATGGGCGGAAAGAGAAGAATTCGGGAAGGTCACTAACTGCTCCACAAAAGCTAGACCCCGATCTGAAGCAAGTCTAAGCTTTGGGGTAAAAACTGAATCAGGCAGCTCAGACTCCAACGGTGGGCACAGAATTGTGCGTAAACAGAACAAAGAGGAGGGAAGAGACAACCGGCCGGCAGAGGAGCGGGGTCCTGGCAGGCTCTGCGCGGGGCAGTGCCTGTGTGCGGAGCTCCGGGCTGCCCGAAGTGGGACGGCACACACACGAGGCAGCGGGTCCTCTTACCTTGTTCTTTGACGGAAGCTCGGCTGCCTTTTGCGGAGCGCTCCACGATCAGCTGACTTGTGAAGGTCATGAATTCCTGAACACTAAGAAACATAACACACGTTACCTCTTCCTGTCACCTTGTCCCCAGTACCACGGAAGGTGACGTCCGAGCGGAGACACTAAGGGGCTGTGGCTTCTGGGTCTCATTCCTTTCCCTCCCGACCTCAGTGACTAAGGAGAGACGCTGTTTTGTTACAAATCCTCACAGCCATTCAAGCCACATCTATCTGCTACCTCGCTCACCAGGACAACTCACTTCCACCCTTGTGGGGATTTTCTACAGGCTTTAGTCAAGGTAACGCTGTGTCAAGAGCACAGTTTGGGACACGGGGAGAACCAGAAGCCAGCATGTGCACAACCAGATCCGGCCGCTGCGCAGGCCACACACTGCGGTGAGACACACGTCTGCAGTGAACGCAGGCTATGGCATGCAACACGGCCTCAGGCGTGCTGGCTCATCCTGACGTCCCATCCAGGGCACTCTGCAAGGCAACCACCCGGCCAAGGAGAAAGAGGAAGTGACCTGTACAAAGGCTGAGAGGAAAAAGGACACTCATGGGCCCAACAGAGAAATGGGCCAGAATGGGAGAGTCACAGGTGACAACAGTTCGGCTCACGAGACTCTCTGGCAACCCCTCTGTGGAGTGAAGACCTCCGGCCGCGGAGTACACGTCCCCGGCTGGGAGCCGTGTGACCTCCAAGCCCGTTACTTACTGCCCCATGCCAAACCCACAAAATCCACGTTCACTGTGGGGAGTGTACAGCACTTAGCACAACACCTGGTGCCCAACATTCCTTCGAGAGAGAGATGTGATCAAAATCATCCCACCGAGAAAAAGTCTCCAAATAAGGAAGTCCTTGCAATAAAACCAAGCAGAGACACAGCTCACAGCACGACTGTGTCCAGACATAAGGGGGACTTACATTCGTTGCACAAATCTGCATACAGGGGCGAGAAAAACTGGAGACCCATCTGAAGGTTTTATAGCTCGGGGTCTGGTAGCCATGAGGCAGGAAGAGTGGAGGTGAGAGGCCTGGACCACATGCTGCTTTAAGAGGTGCTAGTGGGGGCGAGCCCAGAGGACCAAGTGTGTCAGCCATCACGAACTGGCAGGGGTACCCCAAAGCAGTGAGGCAAAGGTCCTACACCGAAACCTATGAGCACCCTCGGTGTACACGGGCAACGAAGAAGAAAAACAGCCAAGTTGGCACCACACGTTCCGTCACAGAAAACCGACGACATGGAACTGACAGCAGAGGAAAGCTGAGCATCCAGAAGATACTTCCCGAAAGCCCCAAAAGCAGCTAAACGTTTCCACGAAACAACAGGAACTGTTTTCGATCCTGCCAGCAGAACACTCTGACCAAGAACAACTGCCCAGAAGCAGTGAGGACAGAGCCAGATGGCAGTGTCCACTGGACTTGGAGCCCGTGGGGTCCTTCTCTGTCGGTGCCTGAGTCACCCCACCCCTCCCACCAATGGGCTGAACGTCTGCAGCATTCCTCACACACACCTCCTTGCAATTAAGGCGTCCAGAAACACTTAAGACGCCTATAAGCCCTACGCGTCCCATGCTTCCTTCCAAATCTTCAGCACACACCTTCTTGCACCATCAGAGCTTAATCAGAAAAAACATATTTGAATTTGACTGCTGGCTGGTTGTGGTATAATTTCTTGCGACCTCATGACTTCGCCCATAAAACGGAGCATACCAATATCTCTCCTACTGAATTGCTGGAAAAACCCCATCAGATCACATAAACTGGCTCTCCAGGTGTGGCCCCTAAGCTGCCAGGGTTAGAATCACTGGGAGAAAGGCGTCGGTTTAAAATACACACGTCTGAGCGTGAATCTCGGCATTCTGTACTTATTCGAAGTCTCCTTGCGATACTATTACGACGAAAATTTGGAAAACACTGAGTACAAAACCAATATTCTAGTAAAACATAAGCCTTTCTCCAACGAAAGGAGGATTCCTCGCACGTCCAGTCCACACACGGAGCAAGAAGCCATTTCAGGGCTCCATGCGGGAGGGAGAACCCCTGTCCACCCAACGCCGACCCCCAGGGCCCCGTCCCCCCCCCCCCCCGCCACAGGGTGGCCCGGACCCCGAGGCCCGCCGGCTCGGGGCCACGGCGTTGGCGCTGCCGACCGTCCGGGAGCTGCAGCCCGCGGGCGCCCGGTGCTCGGTTTGTAGGCAGTGTAATTAGCTGATTGTACTCTGGTGCTTACAATCACTAACTCCACTGCCATCAAAACAAGGCACAGCATCA